AATTCGAAACTTGCATAAAAAGAACAAAGAGACCAGGTAGTCACAAGGTTTAAGTCTCGCAGTAGCCTAGGAGTTCACTTTTTAGCGCTGGAAAACACTATTAGCACTGCCCAGGATAGTTGGATTCGGAAAACTTGTCTTATGCATTAACTGGTATTACCTAAATATGCAATGTTTGAGGAAAGCACCCATTACTTGTGGGTTGGAGGCAAATGCCGAAAAACGCTTGCACCTCGCTTTCACTTCATTCCTAACGTTTCTTTTTGGCCATTAAAACGAGGTCCTCCCTTAATTTCGCTTACTTAGGCAAGCTACCGCAGAAGATGGCCAGAAAGTACTTTGCAAAAGTTTTTCCGGGAATTATTGAAAACCTGTGGTAAACATCCATATTTGATCCAAGGCTTTGTAAAAATGTTATCTATACGTAGTGACTGCGCTAAAGCTACACATTGCTTTATATGGTAGCCCCATCGTGCAGACAAGGGTAGATTAGGTTGTAGCAGTTAAGAGTTATTTAACGTCAAGCAGTGGATACACTTTTTGGGACATGAGTTCCTTATTCATTTATTTATATCTATATTTATGCACTTATGAATTAAATCATTAGGGCTTAGAAATCGATTATTTATATCCATTAATTTATATAAGACGTTACACCAATGGACTCTACACTTTAGTGCCCTTTGGTTTTTTACAATACCTGCATTGATAGATTTCAAACCTGTGGTAATGTTTATTTCAATATTGCTACAATAACTGCTACCAGCATAAGTGCTTAGAGGCAAGAAAACTTAACAGATACAGCATAATCCAAAGTGATAAGGCCACTGAAACATGGCTAAATGGAATAGAAAAGAGGAGCCTGTAAAGTATGAGAAGGTCCATTGCAAAAGAAAAGTATCATTTTGTTGAATTTCTGCATGTCTTAAGGTACTGTAAAAGGTAAAGTTTGTGTATTTTCAAGCCTTGTCTGATCGCTTCTTCGTTGCATAGGAAACGATCTAAATGAGTAGAAGAATAAGATCACACTCTAAAAAACAATTTAACCTTCTTACACTCGGCTAGTAAAGTGGATAACTGCAAAAAGTGAATGCGAAACTTTGCCTTCCCACACTATCAAGTTAATCTAAAGATTTCGAAGAAAATGTATTGCGTCCTGACATCGTTCCTCTTTCAATGCCAGCTGAAAAGATATGTACAGTAAATAGCAGAGTAAAGTCTTCATCCAAAAACTAACCTTCGTAATCAATGATGGGCTCACGAACAGCAGAGTAACCCTCGACATGTACCTCTGCTAGTGACGAAAACGTTGCCTGTAAGTCTTCTAATTAAGATTAGTTTTACTATTCAGCTATCTACCAATCTTTAAACTTTAATCATACCTGAAAAAAATTTAGAAATCCAGATCTCAATCTCAGCGCAATGGGGTTGGTATTCAACGTGAACTTGTCAGAGTTTGTAACATAATATGATTTCAACTTCAAAAAAAGGTGCCCATGTTGTGCTTCGATGTGGCAGATAAAGTTAGCTTACCGTACAGATGAAATCGTCTTCTAAAAGAAAATCCTTGAATCCATCAGGAAAGTTACAATCAACCATAACAAAATAATATATTCCAGCTGCTTTGAAGAAATCGACCAACAGCTTCGCCTCAC